TGTACAGCAGCCGGGACAACACAACGAAGAAATCTTCCTTGAAACTATAATGCTCCAGCCAGGCAGTGGTGGCAAGAGAGCGAGTTCCAGGACAGCCTCCAAAACAATACAGAGAAATCTTGTCTCGAAAAACCAAAAAAAAAAAAAAAAAGAATGAAAAAGCATTTAAATCCTAGCACCTTAATCTCTAACACGTCTGGTTGGCATAGTCCTTATCTTTGAGATATTTTGTAGCCAGCCTTCCCTTTGCTACATTCTCCTTTGTGTGGCTTACTATCTCCTAAACACTTTATATCACCGAGTTCACTCTACTGCATCAGAGCTTAGTAGTGGAGAGCTACCCAGTACAAGAGATGCCATTGTCAACATCCACAAGATGAGCTTCTAATGGACCTCACACCTAAGTGTCAAATGGGAAGTGCAGAACTTCTAGAAGATGCTGGAGAAACTAAGCCTCTCAGTCTGGCAAAGTGTGCAGGTCCTGGGAGGTTGCTCTAAGGCCCTTGTGGACAGAGGAAAACCAGAGCTCCTTCTCTAAAACCAGGAATGTTTGTGGGAGAGCTGGTAACTGTCTGGTTCAGAGTCATTGGGAAGGGTTTTTTTTCAGATCCTGAGAACCCAACTCTTTCCACACTTGTGTCTGGGGAATCAGACTTTCACACCACTGTGGACTCTGTTTATGTTTGTTGTTGTTGAAAAGCAGCCCAGGAGAGAATGACTGCATGAGACAAGGCTCAAGCAGAGGGCTGTTTTCCTTAGGGAAAGGGATCATACAAAAGGAAAGGGAACAGCACTCAGGAGGCAGAGGTAGGCGATCTCTGTGAGTTCGAGACCAGCCTGGTCTACAAGAGCTAGTTCCAAGACAGCCTCCAAAGCCACAGAGAAACCCTGCCTCGAAAAACCACAAAAAAAGGAAAGGGGAGGGGGGGATGGGAGGACCAGGAGAGACGAAAGGGAGGAGAGACAGAGGGGGTCAGAGAGAGAGACGGACAGGGAAAAAGAGAGAGAAGGATGGGAGGTGGGTAGGGCCCTTTTTTTAATTTTTAATTTTAATTTTAAATAGCTTGTTTTACATGTCAATCCGAGTTCCCTCCCCTCCTCCCCCCATCCTCCCCCCAGCCTCCCACCCTATTGCCAATTCCTTCCACATAGGGGATATCTAGAGTCTGTCATTTCACTCAGGGTAGGTTCCAGGCACTCCCCCTAAGAGTCCAGGCTGAGAGAGCATCCCTCTTTGTGCTATGGGCACATGACGTCTGTTTGTATTCCAGGGATAAACACTGATCCACTGCACAGGGCCCCATAGGTTGCCCAGGCCTCCTCACTGACACTCACATTTCCTGGGGTCTGGATCAGTCCCATGCTGGCCTCCCCGCTGTCAGTTTGGAGTCCAAGAGCTCTTCCCTGTTCAGATCAGCTGTCTCTGCTGGTTTTGCCAGCCCATTCTTTGCCAATTTGCTCATCGTTCCTCTCTCTCTGTCACTGGGTTCCTTGGGTTCTGTTCAGTGCTTAACTGTGGGTGTTTGCCTCTGCTTCCATCAGTCAACGGATGAAGGCTCCAGGATGGTTATGAACATCAAGTTCATTATCAGGAATGAGCATTCGAGGTGGTATCTCCACTATTGCTTAGCTTGCCAATTGGTGTCATCCATTTAGATCACTAGAAGTCACACTGGTGCCTGATCTGTCTTCTAACCTATGATTCCCTCTTCCCCCTATTCTACACCCCCCTCACTCAACCTTCCTGTTCCCCCATGACCTACTCTCTCTTCCTCTTCTCCCCCTTTCTTCTTCCCAGGTCCCCCTCCCCCCCCAACCCTCGCCATGTTCCCCATCTGTTCAGAGGATCATGCCTCATACCTCTTCTCTTGGGTACCATGCATATCTTTTAGGTTTATTCCTGTTTCCCAGACTCTCTATCAGTGGAAGTGTGGATGGGCACTATCCTGATCCATGTCTAAAATCCATATATGAGTGAGTACATACCATGTTTGTCTTTCTGCGACTGGGTTACTTCACTCAGGATGTTTCTTCCAGTGCTATCCATTTACCTGTGAATTTCAAGATTCCATTGTTTTTTTTTCTGCTGAATAATACTCCATTGTGTAAAGGTACCACATTTTTTCTATCCACTCTTCAGTTGAGGGGCATCTAGGTTGCTTCCAGGATCTGGCTACTACAAATAATTCTGCTATGAACATAGTGGAGCGATGCCTTTGTTGTATGATTTTCCCTCCTTTGGATATATGCCTAAGAGTGGAATTGCTGGGTCTTGTGGTAGATTGATCCCCATTTTCCTGAGGAATCTCCATACTGCTTTCCAAAGTGGCTGTTTGAGTTCGCACTCCCACCAGCAGTGGAGGAGTGTTCCCCTCTCTCCACATCCTCTCCAGCATAAATTGTCTTCCGTGTTTTTGATTTTAGCCATTCTGACCGGAATAAGATTGTATCTAAGAGTTGTTTTGATTTGCTTTCCCCTGATGGCTAAGGATGTTGAGCACTTTCTTAAGTGTCTCTTGGCCATATTAGCCTCCTCTATTGAGAATTATCTATTTAGTTTTGTACCCCCAGCTTTTGATTGGATCCTTTGGTGTTTTGGAGACTTGCTTCTTGAGTTCTTTGTAAATTTTGGAGATTAGCCCTCTGTCAGATGTGGAGTCAGTGAATATCTTTTCCAATTCTGTGGACTGCCTTTCTGTCTTGTTGACTGTGTCCTCTTCCTTACAGAAGCTTTTTAGTTGCATGAGGTCCCATTTGATAATTGTCGATCTCAGTGTCTGTGCCACTGGTGTTATGTTCAGGAAATGGTCTCCTGCATCAACTCATTGAAGAGTATCTCCCACTTTCTCTTCTAACAGTTTCAGTGTTGCTGGATTTATGTTGTGATCTTTGATCCATTTGGACTTAAGTTTTGTACAAGGGGATAAACATGGATATATCTGCAGTCTTCTGCATACCAGTACCCAGTTATGCCAGCACCATTTGTTGAAGATGCTTTCTTTTTCCATTGTATAGTTTTAGCTTCTTTGTTAAAAATCAAGTGTTCATAGGTGTGTGGGTTAAAATCAGGGTTTTCAATTCAGTTCCATTGGTCTACCTGCCTATTTTTATGCCAATACCAAGCTGTTTTCAGGACTATAACTATATAATAGAGCTTGAAGTCAGGTATGGTGATGCCTCCTGAAGTTCCTTTATTGTATAGTGTTGTTTTGGCTATCCTGGGCCTTTTGTTTTTGAATATATAGTTGATTAATGTTCTTTCAAGGTTCTTGAAGACTTGTGATGGAATTTTGATAGGGATTGCATTGAATCTGTAGACTGCTTTTGGCAAGATTGCCATTTTTATTATGTTGATCCTACCAATCCAAGAGCATGGGAGTTCTTTCCATTTTCTGGTATCCTCTTTGATTTCTTTCTTTAAGGACTCAAGGTTCTTGATATACAAGTCTTTCACTTACTTGGTTAACATTATACCCAGATATTTGATGTTGTTTATGGCTATTGTAAAGGGTGAGGTATCTCTGATTTCTTTCTCAGTCACTTAATCATCTGTAGGGCCACTGATTTTTTGAGTTTACCTTGTATCCTGCCACATTGCTAAAGGTGTCTATCAGCTCTAGGAGTTTGCTTGCAGAGTTTTTCGGGTCCCTTATGTAAACTATCATATAATCTGCAAATAGAGAAAATTTGACTTCTTCTTTTCCTATTTGTATCCCCTTTATCTCCATTTGTTGTCTTATTGCTGTAGCTAGAAATTCAAGTACAATATTGAAGAGATATGGAGAGAGTGGAGAGTCTTGTCTTGTTCCTGATTTTAGAGGAATTGCTTTGAGTTTCTCTCCATTTAGTTTGATGTTAGCTGTTGGTTTAATGTATATTGCTTTTATTATATTAGGTATGTTCCTGTTATCCCTGATCTCTGTAGGACCTTTATCATGAAAGGGTGCTGGATATTGTCAAAGGCTTTTTCAGCATCTAGTGAGATGATCATGTTGTTTTTCTTTCGCAGTTTGTTTATATGGTGGATTACATTGATAGATTTTTCTAATGTTGAACCATCCCTGCATTCCTGGGATGAAGCCTACTTGATCATGGTGGATGATTTTTCTGATGTGTTCTTGAATCTGGTTTGCGAGTATTTTATTGAGTATTTTTGCATCGATGTTCATGAGGGAAATTGGTCTATAGTTCTCTTTCTTAGTTGTGTCTTTGTGTGGCTTGGGTATCAAGGTAATTGTAGCCTTGTAAAAACAGTTTGTCAGTGAGCCTCCTGCTTCTATTGTGTGGAATACTTTGAGGAGTATTGGAATTAGCTCTTCTTTGAATTTCTGGTAGAATTCTGCACTGAAGCCATCTGGGCCTGGGCTTTTTTGTTTGGGAGACTTTCAATGACTGTTTCTATTTCTTTAGGGGTTATAGGTCTGTTTAGATTGTTTATCTGCTCTTGATTTAGTTTTGGCAAGTGATATCTATCCAGGAAATTGTCCATTTCCTTTAAATTTTCAAATTTTGTGGAGTACAGATTTTCAAAGTATGCCGTGATGATTCTCTGGATGTCCTCAGAGTCTGTTGTTATGTCCCCTTTTTCATTTCTGATTTTGTTAATTAGCATGCTCTCTCTCTGTCTTTTGGTTAGTTTCGACAGAGGTTTGTCTATTTTGTTGATTTTCTCAAAGAACCAACTCTTTGTTTCATTGATTCTTCTCAGTGTTTTCCTGGTTTCTACTTGATTGATTTCAGCTCTCAATTTGATTATTTCCTGGCGTCTGCTCCCCCTGTGTGTCATTCGCCATCTTCTGATTTGTAGACTTCCTTTTAAAACTGAACCCATTGGTTTACACTAACAAGACACTTGCTATGCATTTGGCACAGATCTCCAGACAATCTGGGACAGATCTGTCCTTCAGATGGAAACCAGGGGTGGAAAACATTCTGCTGTGTCCCTTTTGTTCACCCAGCCCTGTTCTCAGGCCTCACTAGCCAATCAGAACCTCCGGTGTTCCAGGAAGTAGGGGAGGAGGGAACATCCGGGCCCTAGGTTTCTGGCTCATTGCCTCTGCAGAGGAAGAAGGAAGCTGTCGCCTGAGCTGCGTCAGTGGTTTCCCCTGAGAGGAGAGCAGGGTCTCTATCAGCAGCCGCACCATGGTGAGTAAGAGGCCGCTGTCCGCAGACGGGGAGATGTGCGCCATGGTGAGTGAGGGGCCGCCATCCCCAGACTGGGAGGGAGCCTGGCTGAGCCTGGGGCAGCAGTGTCGAGGGTCCTCCTCCCCCTGGGCGGGAGCCAGCGGGCAGATCAGAGTCCCACGTGGTCCCCCGGGTCGCCCTTGCAACCCCCTGGCCCGGGGGGCAGCCTCTGAATGACTTCTCTCTACGGCTGAGGACCTGGAGCAACTGCTCTTAGAGAAGATCTCCTTGTTGTGGACGCCACTGAAATCCGGCTCCTATGGAGCCTGTGTCGCCACGATGGAGGGCAGATTTGCCAAACTCGGAGAGCCCTGGTCTGGCTAGATTCTTACCGAAGTTCAGCACTTTCAACATTTAGGTTTAGGATCCGTCTGGAGTTAATTGTGTGGGTCCTGTAAACGTATCTGGTGGGTAGGGTAACACCCCACTGCTAAACTGTGCTGTAGACGAGCAGAACTGATGGAGTAAGGGTTACGAACTCTTTCTTTGATTGTTTTATTCTTTTGTGTGTTTGTTTGTTTGTCTCAAGTCAAGTTTCTCTGGTGGAACTAGCTTTTTGGACCAGGCTGACCTTAAACTCAAAGAGATCCGCCTGCCTCTGTCTCCCTAGTGCTGGGATTAAAGGCGTCCACCGCTCTGCAGATTTACCAAATGTTTTGTTTGTTATTTCTGCTTTTTCGAGACTGGGTTTCTCTGTATTGCTTTGGGGCATGTCATGGGACTCCAAAGTTAAATAGTTTGCTAACCATGCCTGCTCAAGATTACTGTAAGGGAATGTTCCTGTACACCAGCCGTTAAGCAATATTTTCATAACAAAGGAGACATGTCTGATTTACAACCAACCAAAAGGCCCCCATCCATCACAGAACAGACCACTAGCATCTAGGGGCCATTACAGGGTCACAACCAACATTAAGTCCTGGTTTGCTATAAACGTTTGTTAATTCTAGAACAGCTACATCTCCAGCCTTCTTAAAAAGTGATTTTGGCCGGGCGGTGGTGGCGGCGCATGCCTTTAATCCCAGCACTCGGGAGGCAGAGGCAGGCGGATCTCTGTGAGTTCGAGGCCGGGATGGACCGATAGCCTCTGAAACAATACAGAGAAACCCTGTCTCGTAGAAACAAAAAAAAAAAAGTGATTTTGAATCCAGGTCTCCCGTGTAGACTTAGGTGTTCTTGAACTGTTTCAGTAGCCGCAGAAACCTTGCTATCCTCTTAAGCACCCTAACTTCTTGGAGCACATCCTATAGAACAACAGAGTTCTAAAATGGCCCAGTTTGAGTCACATAGTGTTCTGTGTATCCAGTAACAGGAGAAGGATTTGTGTGTGGAGCATGGCTTCTCCCTTCAGACCAGAAGAGGAGGAACAGTATACTGTGTGCACTGCGGGGAGACAGCCTAGACAGTAGCTAGGCCACAGGCTGAAGTTTAAGGCAGTGAGCTGCAGGGGTCCCCATCATAAAGAAGGACCTGATAGAATTTCCCAGTGTGTGTTAATTCCTTCCATGTGAATAGAGATAGACAGAATGGGTGGGTGTACAGTTTAGAGAGCATAGCTTGAACTTCTTAGTATTCAGTTTCCATTGAGCAAACTCTCCTATGCAGATCTGTGTTAAGTCAGCTCAGAGGCTTGAGACACAGGCCATTGGTTGTAACTCCACGAGTCCACTTACAGAAAGCAACACCTGAAGTCTTACAGGGGACAGAGTTATACAGTGTCTTATTAATGTCAGGCTTTCAACCAGAAAACGTCTTCTTTGTTTCAAAGTCAGCTTAGCTAAGTGTTCATTTCTAAAAATCAATTGTTGATAGCTTTTTTTTTTTTTTTTTTTTTGGTTTTTCGAGACAAGGTATCTCTGTGGCTTTGGAGGCTGTCCTGGAACTTGCTCTGTAGACCAGGCTGGCCTCGAACTCATAGAGACCCGCCTGCCTCTGCCTCCTGAGTGCTGGGATTAAAGGCATGTGCCACCAATGCCCAGCTTGTTGATAGCATTTTTAAAATTTCCTTTTCTTCAAATGCATTACTGCTCTAATGTGTATTTGTTTCTATTTTCCAATGTTTCCTTGTCATTAAGAATTGCATTCCGCCAGGCGTTGGTGGCGCACGCCTTTAATCCCAGCACTCGGGAGGCAGAGGCAGGTGGATCTCTGTGAGTTCGAGGCCAGCCTGGACTACAAGAGCTAGTTCCAGGACAGCCTCCAAAGCCACAGAGAAACCCTGTCTCGAAAAACCAAAAAAAAAAAAAAAAAAAAAAAAAAAGAATTGCATTCCATATTTTTCTTAAGTGCTATTTATTTATTTCAATAAGTTTGGATGGTGGGATCAAGCGATTTTGTCACCGAAGAGCCCTAAGACCATCAGAAAAAACATTTATATTATGGGTTATTACAGCAAAATTATAGTTATGAAGAAGCAGTGAAAATAATTTTATAGTTGGTGGATAACCACAGCAACAGGAACTGTTTTGCAGGGTCACAGCCTTTAGAAGATTCGAAATCACTTTTTTACATCTATGTCTCCTGTAGCTGAGGCTTGCCTCTCACTATATAATTGAGAATTGCTATGAACACCTAATCCTGCTTCTGCTGCCCAGGGCTGGGAAGACTGTCCTACAACTCCTTCCAGGCTGGGTCTTGACTGCTCTATGGGAAGGAGAAATAGACCCCGGAATGAGTGTCCTCCAACCATTGTAGATTTTATTTTGCACATGAAGGGGACCTGAGTAAGAACTGAGTTCAGTGACCAACTGTAAAGCTGGTGTGGTCAGAGCACAGAAGGGATGGGCAGGAAGAAGGAGGGGAAACTCCTGCTGTGATAGTAGTTACTTAACCTTAGCATGGACTCCCCAGGAGACCAATGCTAGGTGATTGAGAAATGTGCTGACATTTCTCAGGTTCACAGACCAGGCAAGTAGGAATCCAGATAAAGTACTGGGCTTTCATGAAATCAAATTACTGTAGTTAGACTCCCTCAACCACATTAGAACTTGAATAAAGTGGGGTGGCCCTGCCTATCTTCACTATGGCTTCCACATTTAAAATGTACACGCTGGGGGATATGTCCTACCTGGTGTTCTCTAATACAGATCCCCCGTCTCTGGAGCATATGGCCATAAATTCTGATTCAACTTTTGAATGTAATTTTGGGGGGTTATAATTACATCATTTCCACTCTCTCCTGCTCATGAAAGACCTGAAGTTGTCAGGCTGAATGCCTCGCAATATTCCGAGCTCAATAACCAGACAGTAGGATGCAAACTACAAGAGGTTTATTGTTCACACAGGCATCTGAGGGCACTCCAGCCGCTTTAGCAAGCCGAGAGCCCCGGGCTTTAGGACTGTTTTCTTTTTATGTACATAATTTTGGCAAGCAAAGCAATAGGGGTATTGTAAAAAGCGGAGCCACTGCAGGTGCAGATCTGGGCAAGCAATAGTGGTATTGTAAGAAGCATGGGCATAACTCATCTTTCTTGGAGAAACCACAAGGTCAAAATCAAACTTATCTCTACAGCCTGCTGGTGTCCTTCATCAGCACTCTGGACCACATGTTCTTTCCAATTAGACCTTGTTCATTGTCTAGGGGAAGGGACCTTGGGGAATTTTCCACTGAGGCAACCTTCTGAGTCTCAAAAAAGACGAGGGTGTATTGAGGTTTTTCACTTGCAAGCCCTCACACACCTGTGGGAACAAAAGACCTTGGCCGGAGGCCCACTTCCCCATCAGCCTGGGAGCAAGAAACTGACACTGACCACAGAGAAACATGTTTACTAAAAACAATCCGGTGCCCATAAGAAATGTTTACCGGAGCAATAAGTTCCTGAGGGCTCGCCCATGCCCATGGGAACACCCTGGCCTTAACCTTTTCCAATGACTAACCACCTCTTCCTGACCGCCCACCCCGACATGAGTGTCAGGGCATATAACCAGCCTGGGTAAGAATACAGCGAAGCTTTCTTGAAGTCTTCTTTCACCCAACTGGTCTCTGGGTCCTCAATCCCGACACCCTCCACACAGTCTCAAACACAGGCTGAGCGAGCGGGTGTTTTCTAGTCCATGTCCACCTTTTTCTTTTACAACAGGGACTGTTTGAAAGTGACCTGTGTGGACATTGACTGTATAATGGAATGTGCACACAACAGACCCTGTACCTTATAAGAGGAACAGGAAGTGCTCTGAGAGAATGGAAGGTTCTAGTAAATACAATTTCCCAGACTCTAGAGTGGAAGGGCACAGCTGGGAGGCCTGTGCTGCCAGAGTCATTGAATGTCACCTCACCCAGTAGCACAACTGCTTAAGTCCTGAGACCCTCTTGAGTGGTACTAGCTAGTGAGAGACTGTGGGAAGGAAAGAACTTTCAGGGGAACCAGTGGGAGGTAGCTTACAGGTTCTTTCCAGGATTTTCCTAAGTCATGGGCACCGGATTGATCTTAGGTCCCTTCCCCTAGACAGGGATCAAGGTCAAATTTAAGTTTGTTTAGTCATATCATGCAATCCATACAATTTTTCTTTAAAAATCAGTGACCTAGCCTTTGGTCTGGTAAAGTTTTCCTTTCCTTTAGACTTAGATCGGAACATGCAATCATCAATCATCAAAAAGCAGTCCTTTGTGAGCCAGAAGGTAGCTGCTATTCAGAGTTAGTAAAACAAAAGTTGTGTTGTATTGTATTATGCTGGAGGTCAACACATAAAGTTCACACTCTAAATTCCTTACAATGTCGCTAAGTCTATTTACCCAGTCTGCCTCAGGTACCTTAGGTCCAGTCTCTTAGGATAAAGCCTGAGGGGGACCGAGGTCAGGGTGGGGAGAGAGACGTGACAAACCAGCCAGGCAGACAGAGCTTAAGTGAGGAGTTTTCTTATGAATTGGGAAGGAAATACAAAAGAGGTAGAGAGACAGAGAGAACAGCAGAAAAGACGGAGACAGGAAAAGTCCTTTCTGCTTAGGGGAACCTAAGGGAAGACAATGTACATGGACTGGGCTCTCTTTGTTTGTTTGGATTTTTGAG